AACCAAGTTCGTGTAAGGAATTGTAATTGATTTTGGAAGTGGAGAGGTTTTTTGTTGGTGTTAATGCTCATTGTTGTGAGATTTATATATACCACTCACAAGTGCACGAATCTTTGCAGATAGGATTTACTTGTAAGGATGTCGTACCCAAGGGACTTGTGTAAAATAAGTTTGTCAATAAATTTTTTAAATTCCAAATTAACTTGAAAGTATTGTGATGATTAATTCTAAATTAACTAATTCGAAAATAAAATAAAGAACAATAATTAAAAATGATGTAGAAAATAAAGAGAGAAAACTAGGGGAATGACTTCACCACTAACATCGCACCACCAGTTAATTGTATCAATTTATTGGAGATATTTCATATAACATGCACAGGGAGTTAATCATGGCTACAAGCACATATTAATTCAGTTAGAAAATAATATGATTTAAAGTTAAGCATAGACTATCTTCAATTGGTATAAACTATCTACCTATCTACTTTACTCTAGGGTGTAGCATGGTCTATCTTTTCTAGGCATAATCTATCAAATCTCTAACATTATATTTAGAGAAATACCATTGTGTAATCATCCCATTCACAACTAAAAGAAGTGAATGAGTTATGTTCAATCACAAGATTAAAATATCTAAGACAAGATAAAAAAATATTTGTAGTTGAATTAAAACTCTAAAACCGATTCTTATTGAAAATTCAATTAAAAACCCTGTAGATTACACAATCATGCACAATAAAAATTGTTCTTCAATAATTAAATACAATCAAACCGGTGTGCTAAGCTAGGGCTACATCACAACCTTAGTAAAACGTTTAGCTAAGCATGACTGGAGTTGAATTCTTCATAGTTGAGGAAGACATTTTCACCGCCATAGATCGATCTCTTCTTTCTTCTGAATGCTCCTTTCTGATCTCAGCCTCAAGCTCCTCTGTATGATGCTTCAATGTTGTAGAGGACTCCCTTTAAATAATAAAAGATCAGCCCTAAAGTTCATTTTTTCATATAAAAGACATACATAGAAGTTCTGTCAAATAAGGACTCCAAAATTCGTACAGACTTCCCGGCTAATTTTGACAAGGTAAACAGCTGTTTTAGGGAATCCTCGTGAAATACAAAATTGTAGCACTTCGAATTTCCTTTAAACTATCGTGAGAATTTATCCGTTTTGACACTCGAGGAGAGAGATATAGCCAGATTTCCAACACAGGTTCAACTTACCAACTTTGGCGAAAGTTTCCTTTTTGGAGAAGGATTTTTCCTTTTTTTCTTCTTTCCATTCTTATCAACTTGTAGCTTCTTTTGGATTATTTTCTAAGTATAATTAGACTTGGATCTTCAACATTGCTCGGTCAATGTCATCTGTTAAAGCTTAGAATCATTGGTTTTGACTGATTTTACAATTAAAGCCCCTGAAATAAATAAAAATAATAAAACAATATAAAATCACAAATAAACTATTATTAAGAGAATAAAATATGCAAATAAAGGGGCTAAAATGTGTAACATTCAGCGCCTGACACTCATCATTGCCATTTTGGAATCCCATATCTTGGGTATCATGATGCTGCCTCTTCCGTGCACGCCTTATGCCTATATATATACCAATTTGGCATCATGAGGGTATGTACTTGCAAAAATCTTCGTCTTGAAATTTTCATCTGCGATCTTCCCGGTCTCCTCCCGTTATTAAGGTCAGTCTCATTCTTCTTTGCTTTTCTTTAGTTTTTGTTCTTAATTTCCCTATATTTGTTCCATCCTTCCACCATGAGTCAAAAGAGCAGTGATCGTACCCCTAGTGCTAGGATATCTGATTCCGTGTTGAAGACGCTGGAGATTAGTGTGAATACACCAAGTTCTGTTGAGGGTCCTATAATCCTTCTCGTGTTCATAGTGGAGAGAAATTCCATTTTTGTCCTTCAATTGAGGAAAAAGAATAGGGTTCCTCGCAATATAAGTTAGGAAAAAGAATAAGGTTCCTCACGATGTTTCCCTAGAGGAATACCCTCATGATTTAAATTTTGCATTGGTGAGGGTTTGGGGGATGATGAGATGCTCTTCTTTGCTGGTCATCTGTTCACCTATAGATTTCCCCAAAATCCCTTCTATCTTCAGGTCTTTTCTGTTCTGAATTTTGCTCCTCTTCAAGTGAACCCTAACTTCTTATGTATTCTTTTTTGCCTTCTAGCTTTGAACTGAACCTTAGGGTTGTGTAACGACCCAAACCTAGGGATCCGTATAGCTAACAAGGTCCTTACATGAAGCCGAGGTCACAAATCGGTACTATGGTCATTTTACGTCATTACGAGGGTTCTAGAGTCCATAAGCGTATAACGGTAATTTATCGTGGCCAAATAATGGTTTAAATCCCAAAAGGGCAAAATTGTCATTTCGCACATTCATTAAAGTTTCTAACTCATCAGGGGTAAAACAGTCATTTTACTTTATTTAATATATTCAGGCCAAACAAGGGCAAAATGGGTATTCAGTACAATTATAAAGGTTCTAGGGTTCCTGAGGGCATTTCGGTCATTTAGCATGTCAATCATGGATGGGACCTAAAAAAGGTAAAATAGTCATTTACTAATGTCATTCCATGATTAGGGTGAACTCCAGGGGTAATTAGGTAATTATACTAAAGTCTGGGTCAAAGTTAAAATACTAGTTCAACTAACGAGCTGCATAAAATCATATAACTGGTTAGATGATACCGTCAAGACCAACTGGTTGATTACTTTAGGTCATGTAACCGATTACAATAAATCATCTTGCCAGTTACTTGGCTTGGGCAGGGAATGTGTAGATTTGGACCGGTTACATGGATCATCTAACCGGTTACTTGGCTTACGCCAAAAAAATGAATTTTTTAATTTCCTCGAAATCATTTCTAACCCAATCCCAACACAATCTAACATGGTAAATGGCCCATATATGAAATCAAACACATAAATTCACCAAGAAACATTATACTTACATCAAAGTAAAGTTTTTATACATCCTTTGAAGATCAAAACATATTTGTTTGTCATACACAAATCCACAAGAATTTATTACAAAATAAGGCCGCTATGGCCACGATTACATAAATTTACAAAATGACAATTTGTATCATTTCCGAATTCCTAAAAATGTTAATAATAATTATATATATATATATATATATATATATTATAATTTTTCATAATATTTAAATAATAATACTATAATATATGGTATACTTAGAAAAACACATCATCCCCCATATACTATGCACATTTTAGGGCTTAGCAATGGTATACACAGAATCAACATAATCAATTTGCCATAAAATAGTTGTTCAAATCTTTTGGGTAAGCCGGTGATGTTAATGATAATTGAGGACTGTTTAATCAAATTTATTACATGTATATATATTTTAAAAAATAGTTGTTCAAATCTTTTGGTTAAGCTGGTGATGTTGATGATAATTGAGGACTGTGTGATCAAATTTATTACATGTATATATAAAGAATCATTTGATTGTGGGATAATCAAATGTTCGATGGAGAAAAATCTCAATCAAAAAACAAAATAAAAAAATAAAAAATTTAAGAAACTTTTCGTAGAAATTTACATATAATAACATAGCAGAATGGATGATGGCAATTAAATGTGTTAGACTAACGAAGATTCGACATAGTCAAATCGGCCTGAATTGTCAACATTTTCGAAATTTAGTGTGGCAAAATTCGATACAGCTTGTTAACATAATGACTAAAAATTTTATGTTGATCTTATTCACATCCGTGTTATAACCGTATTAATTCATTTAATCTGTTTAAATAATCGTGTTGTATTTGTGATGTGGAGTTCAATCATTTAATCTGATTAAACTCATTTAATTAATCGTGTCATAATCGTCTTAGGAAACTCCGATTAACCCATGAGGTATTTTAACTCAATTACTATGAATATTTTTATTATTTCAATAAAAATCGAATATAAATTTTGTATTTAGCCTTTTCAATTTTTTTTTTTTTTTTTCTCTCTCTCTCTCTCTCTCTCTAATTGTATTGTCCAATTATTCCGCATCCATTATCTAAATTAGTTCATTATATTTTATACTTAAAGTAAATAAATCGATTACAAACTCATTTGTTAAATAGGTTACAAAGGTCGCGTCTATTATTCATTTAATAAATATACCGTATTTGTGTCGAGAGTTTCTATTACTATTATTAAATAGGATTGTGTTTGAATTAATTTACTTAGCAGAACACTCATAAATTGACATGATATAATTTTAATCCGACAAGATGAATTGCCACCCATAATAAAAGTTATTGTTTGAACATAAAAAATGAAATATATTAATCAAATATTTTTCCACCCTACATGCTTGACTGATCGATCTCTATTAATCTATGGGCGGATTCAGGAATTGTCAATGAGTTAATATTTTTTTTTAGGTAAACTAATACTTTAATAATAATAATAATTTTTTTTTCTTTTTTTTTTTTTTTTTTTGGGCCCGTGTGAAAATTGACTATAATAAAATATTAAAAAAATAAAAAGTTTTGGGGTGGGCTAAAGCCCACCCGTGCCCACCCTAGATACGCCCTATGCATAGAGGAAGACAAATTCAAATTTAAAACGGGACATTCCACCAATTCCATGGCTTTCTTGCCGCCCTCCAAGAAAGTCATATATATAGGGGTGGGTGGATTCTTGGAGGGCGATACGCCCTATGCATAGAGGAAGACAAATTCAAATTTAAAACGGGACATTCCACCAATTCCATGGCTTTCTTGCCGCCCTCCAAGAAAGTCATATGATTTTTGGAGGGCGGCAAGAAAGTCATTATATATATATATATATATATATATATAGTGCTTAAACTAGTAATGATGCATTTGTTTGACACCAAATGATAGAGGCTTAAGTTATTACTTATTGCTATCATTAAAAAAAGTTGTCAATTCATCTGAACTTTGAATGACATTATTAGCTTATTGCAAGTATGAAAGGGCAGGTCTGTATGTTCATTCCTAGCACCAACTTCAAGGGAGAGAGGTTTTACATGGGATCATAGGAGTTGTGGAAGTTCACCCATACATACAGCTACCCTGTATTTTTCAAGAAAGGGCAGTTTGAAGAAATCGCATCTGCAGAAACACTATCAGAGCTTGCACCACCCTTCATTAGACCACCAAGCAATTCTCCACGATCAAAAAACAACTCAACCTTCACGATCTTCGATTCTTCATCCAACTATTTAATTCAAAACAAAATACAATCACAATTCAAATCCAAGTGACCTATATATATGAGTTTAAAGTAGTTGAATAAAAGGAAAAGAAGAAAAAGAGAGAGGTTTGTTTAAACATACATACCTCAAAGATACCCATCCCATAAAACTCTACCAACTCCCCAGTAGGGGAGTGTCCTTTAAAAGGACCCTCCATGAAACCCCAGTGCCTAAACTTGTACACAATCACCCGTGGACCGGAGTAAACTTGTAGAACCTCTAGAGCAAACCCTCGTGGAAACGTTGTCGTGAAAGCACGGTGAGATGAGTCTGCAGTTTCTTCAGCTGGGTTGTAACCCCGGAGCTTCTCTGGCAGCGCGGTCTGCAGGAGCGCGTTGTAGCCTCCCCCAAGCTTCTTCTTTTCCTCTAAAGTTAGAGCTTTCCTTCCTGAAAATCATGTATATATAAACAGTAAACAGCACTAGAATTCTGATTAAATCAGACAAGTAATTAGTAGGATAGACAAAATGATTTCAAATTACCATTGATGCTAGAAGTATAATTCTTTGGGTTGATTGTTTTGAAGTCATCCAAACGCGACTTATGGACAAGGTTGTTAAAATCGGGATTCTATGCAGAATCGTTTTGAGTTCCGTAGAATCAGAATCGCAGAATCGGATCATGAATCATAATATTCTACCAAATTGTGAAAAAACAATTAAAACTAACTTTTTAAATAATAAGATCTGTAAAATATAATCAAAATAAGGCCAAAACACACAATATTACATATCCATGAGTCCACAAATCTCAAATCTTAACAATATTCCAAAGTCTAAATATAAATGAAAGAAAATGTAACTCAAAATAACATAGAGTTCTAACTCATCCATCTCTAAATTTAGAAACTAAAATTACATATCCATAAAGTCATCATTGAACTCTTCATCATCACCATCTTCCTCATTAGCACCATCAATGGGATTTAATGGCTCCATGTCTTCATTATCATCAATTGCATAAATTTCCTCAACTATAAAGCATAAAGAAAGAAAGAAAATTAATATAATTTAATAATTTATACAATATTATAATAAAAGTTTAAAGTTTAAGTTCTTACGTGTCTTAGTCATCCTTTTTACTTCATCTTCCTCATTGGTATCATCTTCTTGAACTTTGTCATCAAGAACCCTCAACCATTTAGTTTTTGTTGGAAGAACCGGATCCTCTTTTTCGGTAATCCATTCATCATCGAAAGAAACATCAGAAGAAACAAATTGGTTCTACGACGGCTTGTCTTTTCACGTGCCTCTCCCTCAATTTTATGTTATACATAACAAATACCAAATCATTCAATTTTTTTTGTTGCAACCGATTTTTCCTTTTTGAATGCACCTAAATATATTGCCAATGAGGTTAAAACTTAAAATTAAACTATGACATTATTAAAATTTTGGAACTATGCATTATTTGATAATTTACCATCTCAAAGGCACTCCAGTTCCTTTCACATCCCAAACAGCTACATGTTAAACTCAATATTCTAATGGTAAACCGCTTTAACTCGGGGCACTCATCACCAAATGAATTCTAATTGTAAACCGCTTTAACTTGGGGCACTCAACCACAGACAACTTGTAATGTTTACAGGACATCCTTTTTTTTTTATTTTTTTTTCTTACTACTATTTAATTAAATAGCTAAATTCAAATTCCCTGGTAAGCTATTCCAGTTCTTCTTCCATATACTTAGTACCAAATAATTATGAAATGATTTTATCAAATTTAATTTATTATTCCCACCTGTTATATAAACCTAATATTATGTATAGTTGAATAGTTCCAATTTTTTATGTGGGTTACAGTCTTTCTTTGTGTGTATTATTTATTCATATATCAGTCTTTCTTTGTAACTGTGAGTGAGAATTCATGTGGGTTTGTGCAAGTGAAAGATAATGGAATTTGAGTAGGAAAAAAAAAATGAAGAGAGAGAGAGAGAGAGAGAGAGAGAGTTCAGAGTCTTATAAAGATGTGATTTTATTTGTAGCAGGAGAGATGGCAACAACTTTTGGATGTCCTTTTACATTGTCACAGTGGAAGGAACTCAAGACACAATCAATGATTTACAAATATATAATGGCCTCTGTATTTGAATGAAATATGTTACTATTTAATGTTTATATGACAGCCTTTCTGGTGTAGCTATTTAATTACTTATTGCTACTAGTTTCAATTCAAATTTGGTTCTGTAATTTTAACAACAATATCAGATAGATCAAAATATTATTTGGCTTCAAAATTTGTAAAAATTAATGCAGTATTTGTGATTCCGCTGGCTAAAATTTCATGAAATTAAAGGGTGTCAAGGTTGATAAGATTTTCTGGACGAAGATTTGGAGAAGAATTATAGAATAGCAATCAGTAATCACCCACTCACTGTATCCATGATTCCATACTAAAAAAAAAGAGGGAGAAAAATAATTCTTAGTATAGAACATACCTGACCGAGCAGCCGAACCTGCTGCTATATGGAATGGATCCGATCTGCTCTATAGAGGCCTCTGCACTGCCGCCTCCTCTCAGTCCTCACTCCTCACTCTTGAGTCTTGACTTCCCGTTTCTAAGTCTATAATAGAGTAGGGTTTTCTGTTTTGGTTTTGTTACTTTATATTTTATAATTTATAAAATAAATAATAAAACATATAATTTGGTAAGTTTTGGGCCAGACCTGCCCAAACAACTAATACAATTAAGGCCCAAAGACCAAATATTATAAAGGCCAGCCCAAAGGCCCCAAACACCCATTTTTGGTAGAATCGGTAGAATCATATAGAATCGTATGATTCTACCAACGATTCTACCGATTCTACCCCTAATTCTACCAATTGAGCAATTCTGCTGCGATTTGAGTTGATTTTGAGTTCTGAGTCGTAGAATCGTGCGATTCTACGACTTAGAATCGCGATTTTGATAACTATTCATTTAATGGAGAAAATAAGAGCTTGGTATATATGATGAACCTAAAATTTTGTGACATAGAATAGCTCATTTATATGCACACATATATAAGCCAAACACCACCTAACATGATCAGAAATAGTCTTGGTTCATACTAATCAAAGTTGGTCAAAATTTTCAAGATAAATTGTCTAAATTGCTTTAAGGTGATGACAAACAAAACACAGCAATTAATTTCAAAGTCTGATCTGTCTGCCAACTTTGTATTGAAAAATTACTGAGCCTTTCATATATTAATCAAAGTGTTATGTGTGTGGGATCCACATAGATGCAATCTTTGAACCTTACATCATCAATGACAATCCTTCGGAGGGTTAGCAAGTTTGTTATCTCGGCTTACATTGGAAGTTCATCCTTGCGACTATTATATATCCATCATCATTGTACTCCAAAAGATACAAAAGATGCAGTAAATGAATTAGATTACATTGCTTTCTTTTAGATATCTATATTTCTCTATCTTTACATATACGCTATGAAAGTGTCTATAACATATAAAATTACAATATGTTTATTGGGGTAAACGAAAGTTTTTAAAACTTTACGAGGGATTTTTAAATAAAGATCTTGATTTATGTGTAGAGACAAATTTTATACATGAAAAACATGATGATTTATTCAATTAGAAATAGAAAACTTACATCAAGGTTTGAGTAAACCTTAGATCTCTCCTCTAAAGTGAATGTTCTCACTTATTGTAACTCCCTTTACTAGATGTCTCTTCCTTGGATCTCCATCTTGTTAATAATGATCTTGTCTTTAGGAATTACCTATAAACCTCCATGAATAACCTTGGAGAGCTAAGCTTGTGGGAGCCTCCATCAGATGAGAACACTAACCTTAAAATTCTAGAGAGAGAAAAATATTTTATTTTCTTCCAAAATTATTGCACAAAGGCATAACCTAAAATATACATGGACCCCATGTATATATAGGCAAAATAAAATAATAATTGAAGTTAATAAATTTTTCTCAATCTCTAAAATTAACGTGATATCTCAAATCTAATGGGTCTCCAATATCAAGTTGGGCTATGTGTGAGAATTCTTTGAGTTGATTATTTTATTGGCTACAATGAATTAATAATTAGCCCTATTCATTATACTATGGACCCAATTCAATTAATTTATAAATTAATTTCTACTCTACTAAAAGAAATTAATTGAACTCCAATTAAATAATAAATAACCTCTAAGTCAATGTTGTATTTTGACCCATCTATGCATAGTTAGTTACTTTATAAATAAAGCCATCAATCTGACTACTAAATTAATATATTTATTTTTGGTACCTTTGATTATTTCCGGCTTGATCACGATAAAACATTTGTTTGACAAAAATAATAATATAAATAAATAAATATATAAAAAATCATTTTGTCTAAAAACACACGAAGGCCTTCAAATTTACTTTGTAATCAACCATAATCAATACAAAATAAATAAAATTAACATTGATGCAAATATTGAAAATATAACCCTTTAACTATTAATTATATAATTATTCAAAGTGCTGGTCTATGAATTTCGAAGATTCCGTCGAACAAATCAAAGTAATTACTAATTAATAAAAAAGTATACATTTTTATCATGCTTAAGAATCAAATGCCATAACAGTGATAACGAGCAATTGCATACGACGGCTCTCGCAATATATCTCAACCTAATACGGATCTAGTTTAAGTCTTAATTGATAATGAGTCCATCCATAATTACCGACTATAAACTATTTATGATTACTATTTATGTCCATGTATTGATTACCATCACATACATATATAAATATCTCTTGCAATCAAGTGGACAATATCAATTCCATAATGAATCGAAACATAATACATTGACTTCATCAATTTTATAAAGCTAAAATATTTCAGATATGTTAGGAATGTATGTCACTTTAATCTAAATAGGAATTTGCTATGCCAGAGTATATAAATTCTAACAACGTTATCATCACAACTCTCTAACCACCTGTGACTTGAATAAGAAACTTTATTTCCCTTTTTCTATCTCAACTATATATCTCTTTTCTGATATTAGTTTTGATAGATTATTAGGTTTGCTTACTTTACTGAAGAAAATAGTATTTCTTACTTCAAAGGGTAAGAAAATCTTATTTATTTATTATTGTTATGAATTAAGTTGTCCAGTTAAGTGATATATGTGCTCACACTATAGTCAGTTTTACCACCTTTATTATTTAATGATTTATTAACTATGGTCGGTTTTACTATTTTTTATTATTTATTAATTATGGTCGGTTTTACTGCCTTTAGTATTTAATGATTAATTAACCATGGTCGGTTTTACCGCCTTTATTATTTATTTATGGTCGGTTTTGTCGCTTTTATTATTTAATAATTTATGACCGATTTTTTCACCATTATTGTTTTATAATTTATTTACTATCGCTGGTTTTATGTTGTTGTTTCACTTAATGCTATTTTATTGTTAAAATATATGTTTATTTTTATAATATGTTAAATTGTGTTTTAATATTATTGTTACACTAGTTATTCTAAAATGTCAAACTTGACCAAGTTGGAATTCGTGACCTTGGACATTTCTGGCAAAAATTATTTATCTTGGATTCTGGATGCTCAGATCCATTTAGATGCTATGAGTCTTGGAAACACAATTAAAGAAGAAAATGATGCATTATTATAAGATAAAGCGAAGGTCATGATTTTCCTTCGTCGCCATATTAGCGAGGAGGTAACAATTGAATACCTTACTGAAAAAGATCCACTGAGTTTGTGAAATTTTTTGAAAGAAAGATATGATCATCAAAAAATAGTTATGCTCCCAAAAGCTCGGGCTGATTGGCAACAACTATGGTTATAAGATTTTAAAATTGTGGCTGAATACAACTCTGTCCTATTTAAAATCAGCTCTACTTGCGTGGTGATACCATCACTTATGAACTTATGTTGGAAAAAACATACACCACATTTCACGTCTCAAATATACTCTTAGAACAACAATACCAAGAGTGTAGATTTGAAAAATATTCAGAGCTAATATCATGTTTACTTGTGGCTGAGCAAAATAACGAGTTTTTATTAAGAAACCACCAGTCCCATCCAACTGGATCGACACCGATCCCTGAAACATATGTTGCCTCATCTCGTGGACGTGGTAATAGACATGGTCATGGTTATAGAAATGGCTATAATAATGAATATGGTCGTGGTAAGAATAACTACCATAATAACGAATATGGTCATGGTAAAAAGCACTCTTATTATCATAAAGGATATCAATCCTCAAACTTTTGCAATCAGAGAACCGCACCATATCCCTAAAAGAGAGATTATAATGAAATGAAACAACTAAAAGGGAAGGGTTTGACTCAACCTTCCATGGCACATGAAAATACTTGTTATCGGTTTGGAATGATAGGGTATTGGCAAAGCATTTGTCGTACGCCTAAGCATTTGGCTGAACTTTACCAAGCATGTGATACCCCCTAATTTCGGAACACGGGTTGATCAGATCCGAGTACAAAATCAGGAAATATCAGCCAATCAATTAATAATAAGCAAGCATAGAATACAAAAGGAATAATAAATAAATAATAAATAAATATCGCTGAAAGGGAAATCTAAAATAATAATTAAATAATAAATTCTTTGATACCGAAACCTCCAATAAATTCTCATTATAAAAAAAAAAACCTCCATAGTACAACTTGGGAATCCATACAACGTGGACCCCTAATAAAAATCCCAAATTGATAAATGAATAAAAATGTCTATCTTAGAAATAATAAAAACATAATGTAGAGGTTTATGTTGATGATACCGGAAGATTGAAGAAGACCAGCCTCTATTCTGCACGACTGACTCTACGCCTGGAACTGACAAGGACCTGAAAGATGACAACAAAGGTGGGTCAAAAACCCACGAACAAGCTCTTTCTACTACATCCCAAAAAATGACCCGATAAACGATACATCCTGGTCCTATTCATGTAATAACTACGTAGGTCAATATACATAAGTATACACACTATAGACTCTCACTGAATCATAAGACAACCTCAACCAAGTAGTAGGTCTCATGCAATCGTACACAAGGTCGTCATGAGTACCTCTTCACACACATCCCTATATCCAACTATCTATCTTACCTGACAATATAAGCCAACCCTAACCATCAATCCCGAAATCTCAAGCTTATATCATGGTACACAATCAAAATGTACATATGTGAGTAACCTACAACCATATCCTAATAATGGTATAATTTAAGGTCATAATCATATCCTGACAAAACTATAACCAAAACGTATGGGTCTAGACTTATTAGCCCGCCCGTAAAGTTATCAGCAAACCATATCCTGACAATGACGCTGCTAAGACCATTTCCTGAAAATGGTCATCCATATACATAAATATATCAAGCATATATAAACTCATGTACATATACAATCACATACATGATTATAATCATACTATCATCTACAACAGTTGATAGAACTTACATTATAAATATAGCCATAATTATTAATCCCTGTAACTATCCTACTATACAAATATTAAAATAAATTTTTTTTTAAACCAACGCATGCATAGATCAGATTATAACCTACACAAATGATAACTGTAAGGGATTAAAGAGTGTTAAATAAATAGCTTGAATATAAAGTAAGGTCTATTATACATCATATTAATGTCGTAGTATTTTCTGTAACAACATTATGGTGAAAATCAGCATAAGCAACTTATAGTTCAAATAAAAATCAATAATTCATCTCTGGACAATCTTCAAAATTCTAGAAAACTCAACCCAAGCAACTAAGTGGGTTTCTTCATGGAAGAAACCATCTGCATATTAGTTGATAGCTATGTAATTTTCGAGCCAGCCTTTCATGCTTACACTGGGTACTGTATTTTGTATGGCCTTCTACAAATATAGTGAATCTTGTATATCCAATGTGCATTTATCCAGCAAAGCCGCATTTTCATAGTCTCAGTCCTTGTACTTTAATTAATTAATTAATTTATTTCACACTTCGTAATTCTTCCTAAACTTCATAGCTAAGATCTTGATGATTTATATAGGTTCTAGAGTAACCCAATGGTCCAACACAAAACCAGTTAATCATTAAACACAATTGAAACTTACTTTTTGGCAATTAAATTCAAGAAAGATTAAGCTTTTGGCAATTAAATTCAAGAAAGATTAAGCTAACTCCTTGAATATATATAATTATATATACCTATATATATAATCTTAAACTCTCTGTAATGATATATTTTAACATACAAACCTTAAATTATAATCATTTTAGATATGTACCGCATACAAAGTCTAAGGGAATGAATAGAAGAAGACTTGCCTTTTATTAGATCTGGATCGGAAACTCAACACTATTTTTCTTAATTTTTCCCTTAACGTCGGCGGCTTTCGGGTCACCGTCGTCTACCTCTGCTGCTTTCGGCCTCACCACTCTCATTTTTCTTCTCTTTTTTCTCTCTTCCTCTTTATTTCTTTCTTCTTCTTTTTCTCACCGCCCCTCTCTGTTTTGTTTTCTTTGCAATCCCAATTCTACAGAACAATACTAATATATATAATAATAATAAACTAACCTATTTCTAATCTAACACCCCACTAATAAGCCCAGACAAAATCACTAACCCACCAATACTAACCAAATAAAACGTCTACCACTAAAAAAAATATATATATAATAATATACTAACTTAATAACACAATAAACCAAAACAAACTAATCCTAATAACACAACCGTGTCATTTGATGCTGTATAGGTTACTTTGTGTTAGGTGTTAATTAATATTTAATAACATAATAACTAAATAATACAAGTAATAGATATATACTAACTTAATAACATAATAAACCAAAACAAACTAATCCTAATAAAACAGCCGTGTCATTTGATGCTGTATAGGTTACTTTGTTTAGGTGTTAATTAATAGTTAAGAACATAATAACTAAATAATACAAGTAATAGATATATATATATATATATATATATATATATCTATCCATCCATACAGCTAACTTAAAAAATATATAAAATAACACCAATGAAAAAAATTTACAATTAACTAAAGAATTTTCACTAAATAATTAACATTGAAATGACAAATAAATAAACACTCCAAAACAATAGCGAAGTAGATAAAAAAAGTATAATAAAATAAACACTAAATAATTAGCATTTAAATGACAAACAATTAAAACCCTAAAACAAATGCACAAACAATTTAAATAGACACGTAGACAAATAAAATAATATAAAACAAATAAATAAAAACCTTGTAAAATTTAGGGGTATAACATTCTTCCCCCCTAACAAAGGAATTCCGTCTTCGGAATTCACTCTTTTACTTTAGTTCAGCATTTCTGGAAATTTTGAACGGATGACATCTTCCCGTTCCTAAATGGACTCGGCCTCATTATAATGGCTCCATTGAACATGCACAAGGGGAATAGTCTTATTGCGAAACAACTGATCACGACGATTAAGAATACAGCATGGTGGTTCAGCATATGTCGCATCCAGCTACAACTCAATTTCGCCAACATCTATATACTAATAGCGATCCTTATCTTATAGAAATTTCCGTAACGTAGACACGTGGAAGACATTATGGATCTAATGTAAATGATCCGGAAGTGCTAACTGATAAGCTACGGCTTTGACTCGATCCGAAATCATAAAAGGATCGACAAAACGTGGTGATAACTTCCCCTTCTTCCCAAAGCACATTACTCCCTTCATGGGAGACACTTTGAACAACACCTGATCCCCCTACCTGAAACTCTAAACTGCGAGTACGACGGTTTGTATAACTCTTCTACCTACTCTGGGCAGTGCGCATGTGGTCATGAATAAGAGCAATCTTCTCAGAGATATCCTTGATAAATTCAGAACCCAAAAATCTGCTCTCACCAACCTCTAACCAACAAACAGGAAATCGATATGGTCGGCCGTACAACGCCTCAAACGGTGCAATACTAATAGTCTTCTAAAAACTATTGTTGTAGGCAAACTCTGCAAGTGGCAAATAATCCTCCCAGTTGCCCTTAAAATCAAGGACACAGGCACGAAGTATATTGATCAAGCCCTTTTGTGGGGGTCATTTTTCCTTTAATCAAAATGAGATGTTTGAAGGTGTGGTTTAGGAAAAGCCTTTTTGAAAGAATTATCAAAGAGTCAAATTTACATTTCTAAAAACCACTACTACTATAATGAAGTATATAGTGAGTAGGGATCAAACCCAAGAGACCTTTGGCTTGGATTTAAATAAGACAATTGGTCTTAACAAGTGATTACCATAGGAGAGAGAGAGAGAATAAAAGAGTTGGTTGGTTGATTAAGCTAGTGAACAATTAAATTAAAATGCAATGAAAATAAACTAAGTTAGAGTTAGGGGTTTAAGAGATAGAAGAGAATTCTTAGGGTTTATTGGAATCACCACTAAGCTCATGCAATTAATTACTTGCTTTCCATTAATGGATGGAACATTATTGCAATTTAAATGTACCTTCAATCACTAAAAAACTTGCAATCAAGTATGCATGAATTATCAAATGCAAGTATGAATTGTCTACCTAATGACATGTAAACTAGGGTCTAGAACAACCCATCAAGCCTAAGCATACTCCATCAAACTAATCACAATTGCATCTAATGAGAGCATACATTAATCAAGAGGATAATGGAATTTGCATATAATAAGTGTGGATTATCAATTCAAGCATAGATTGTCTACCTAATGACAAGTAAACTAATTTGTAGCACAACCCATCAAGATAAAGTATAACCCATCAAATTAATCAACAATCCCATCCAATAAAAACCATGCCATGGCCATTACTAAACCTAAATAACAATGGAATCTAGTGTTGAGTATAATCCTCTAATCACACATAGACATGCAATTAACATAGAGAATTAATGAACGAATTAATCTTTAACATCTAATCAAAAGCACATCCTTAGATTAATTACACATAGACATGTAATCAGCATATAGAGTTAATGGAAGAATCAAACTAACACAAACAATGATTTGTCAAATCAAGCATGTAAACAGGAATCACAAGGCCAATTATTATAAATATATATGGTATATACATAATAATATTATTATTAATATATTATTGAGTATATTGGTCTGGAGAAGGCTAATATTTACATGAGTTTTAGATAGTAGACAGAGGCAAAAATATAGAGAAAGGATATTAGAGAGAGAAACCGTGAGTAGGAGAAGGGAAAAAGAAGGCCGCGTGAGGGATGAAAAGATTGGATCAATGAAGAGAAGAAGAAGCTGTTCGTGCATGACGAATGAGAGTAGCAGAAAGGAGGATGGTGGCATCTAAGACTGCCGACATTGAAGAGTTGGCCGGAGAAGGAAGGAGTTGGGTTTTCATTTCAAAACCCTTAAGGCAAGTTCTTGTTCTACTCTTCTCCTTTGGCTTCGTGTTCAGTACATATCTAAGTCAATCTTAGGATAATTATACAGTAAAAACGATCATGTGTGTATATTTATGTATATATATTTACTTGATCTTGAAGCTTGATGCATGAAAACTTGTTTTAAATCATTCTAATGATGCGTAATGACTTTAAATAATTAATTGGGATCATTTGGGACTTAGAACAGACGTTTAAGATCCTTAACGAAGGAGATCAGAACATTTTAAGGTGGTCAGAGTCAGAGAAGAAAGAGGGCAGGAGGTCGAGAGGCAGCTCCCTTAATAATTTTTTGGTTCTTAGGTTGAGAGCCGGCTCCTTTTTCAAGGGAACCGACTCCTTTGCTGGAAAAAGATAGGCATCATGTATTTTTGTGTTTATTTTGTTTTCAAGGGTTTACAAAGCTACTTAGCTAGTATTGGAGGATTTAAGTGGACCTAATTATTTCCCAGAATGCATAATATACAATAATATTCAATAATATGGAGGTTTATGCAATTTAATTGAGATGTAAGTTAATTACCTCTTTTGTAAATTAATTACATGCTATTTAGAATTGTTGTATTTTGCTTAATTAAATGTAATGGATATTTGTATGATTAATATCATGTTTATTTCTGAATTATTTGATGTACATACATGCTTGCATCATTTATTGGATTGGGAACCATTGTCGGATTATGGTTTCGGATTTATGCACAATTGTCAGGATACAGGAGCATACTATGGATAAGCTGGATAATAAGTTTAGTCTCATTCCTTGTAATGCCATTGTCGGGGTATGGATGATAGATTTGGATATTTTAAGGATGAGTTATCTAATAAGTTTAGTCTCATACCTCGTATCAGGTCATGGATTCATATGTAGATGACATGCCATTGAAAGATTATGGGAGATAGGATGTTTTATGTTTTGGAAAGGATATTGATTTATATATATGGATATGTGCCATGATATGAGTTTGAGATCTCAAGATCAGTGGTTAGGGAGTGTGTATTGCCTTGGGGATGCATAACTGGATATAATGGATTGTTGTGTGCCCTGGTAGATGATGGTACTCATGCCCACCTAGTGTGCATTTTGCATGTTGCCTACTATCTAGTTGAGTCTGTCCTATAGTCTAGTGAGAGTCCTTTAGTGTGTATCTATATGTATATACAGATTGTGTAGATATTGCATGAGTTGACTAGGATGTATTCGTTCATTAGGTCTCTATAGGATGTAGTAGAAAGAACTTATTTGTGGGCCTGAACCCTTATTTATTTTTCAGGTCCATGTCAGTACAAGGTTCGTGCAGAGTAGAGGCCAAGTATCATCACTCTTCTAGACATAGGATTCTACTTTATGTTTTCATTATTATAGATGTAGACAGTTATCACTATTATTTATTTCGGTTGGGATTTTTATTAAGGGTCCACATGATATGGATTCCCGAGTTGTATTTTGGAGGATTATTGTATTAGAGCATTTTATTATTTAAATAAATTTATTTTAAGGATTTAAGTATTATTTTAGTTTTCCTTTTAGTATTTTATTTATTCTTCATTTATCATTTTGTATTCTGTGATCGATTATTGTAACATTGTTTTGATATCTCCAGGTCTTCGGGGTATGGGCCTGGCCAACCCGCATTCGAAAATTTGGGGGTATCACATCTTATGTATCTTGCAAATTACACATGGCCTGGCATAGTCTTTTCAGTTAACATAGTCTTTTTAGTTAATTTATTAGCAAGGTATAGTTCTGCACAAACCCGCAGACATTAGAATGAAATCAAACACATAACGATATCTTCGTATTACAATTGATATAGGATTCTTTTATTCAAAAGAACTAAATTCTCAATTAATTGGATATGCAGACGTTGGTTATCTCTCTAATCCACATAAAAGGTCATTCACAAATAGGATATGTGTTTACCTGTGGCAGCATTACTATATCATGGAAATCTATAAAACAGACAATAATTGCAACTTCTTCAAATCATTCTAAGATACTTGCAATTTATGAGGCAAGCAGGGAATGCATTTGGTTGAGGTCTATGATACAGCTTCTTCGAATAACATGAGGTTTCTCATCAATAAAAGATAGCCTAATAGTATTATATGAAGATAATGTGGCATGCATTACACATATGAAAGAAGGGTCATGCATTACACAGATGAAAGAAAGGTATATTGAAAGTGACAGGACCAAGCACATCTCACCAAAATTCTTTTATGCACATGAACGCTAGAAAAAGGGTGATAATGATATTCAGAAGATATGTTCATGTGAAAATCTAACAGATTTACTCACTAAAATGCTTCCAACTACAACATTGAAGAAACTGGTGCACAATATTGGAATGCATTAACTAAAGGTTCTTTAGGATTGAACTAATGCAATAATAAGGGGGAACAATTGATCGAAAAGGTATTGGCATACTGTACTATTTTTCCTTCATCCAAGTTTTGTACCATGATGTGTTTAGTTTATTACCACTTGCAATAGCACGAATCTTTGTAGGATATTACTATATAGAGGGTGTTGATCCTACAGGGAGATAAGTGTTCTTTGCATTGTTTTTAACTAATGAAACTTATTTCTTGGTTTACAGGTAACTGGTTAAATTGATTTGGTTGATTTGGTTGCCATGAACATAAAATAAAATTAACCTGAAATTAAACTAAAGTGGTCAGAGAGAGAAAAGTGTTAGGGCTTTGACTTCACCAAAACCTTCATATTATAGTTAACTATTCAACTCTGGGGATTTAACAATTTATATTTCAAATGAATTGAATTCAATAACATTCATTCAATTCAGTTTTTAAAGAAAGATATTTTATAAATTGCAGTTAACTATAACCTATCTGCAGTTAGCATGGATTATCCACCTACCTACTCTAACTATTTTAACTAATTTTGCAAACAATCAATCTTTCCTAAGAATAGACTATGAAAACATTCATTTATAAAAAACTTTGGAACACCATTACATGATCTCCATTCTTATGTTCGGAAGGGCTCCGCCAGATACTGTCCATAAGGATGGGGTGAGAATAGTCTTAGAACAGTTGTATCTGTTTGTTCTATTGGTTTTGCTCTTTTAATGTTAAAAGAACAAGTGATTTGATGTACTATCTACTAAGGGCTGTTTGGTAACTACAAGGGCACAAGGGGCATTTATGTTATTCTACACAAGTATATGGATAGCCTATATGTTTCTAAGATAGTGCATTGTGTATTAGAGCTGATAGGTACAATTCTAAGGACTTAAACGTGGCTGCAAAATAGTGTGTGACATGTGGAGTCTTCAAGGGCAGCATTGACAATTCAGCACTGTGAACAGCTTGCTGCCACGTGGCAGTATGGCCTTATAAAGAGAAAACAGCAGCTAAGATTTATTGGCTAATGTAAGAAGGTCTTATCCATTATAGGGCTAGAATAAGGACCTTATATATATGTTGTTATAGCGTTTGTGAAAGGCCTACTTCCTCTAAGAAAAGTGCTACAAAATAAGTTGAAAAGAAAGAACTCTCGAGATATCAAATGAAGACATTTTTCTTGAGAGATTATTGTGTCAAGGTGGCTGAATTTATTCTGTGAAATGCACCAGTAAATGTTTATAATCTGAAGATGAAGAAGAGGGCTGGATGTAGCTGTTTTTCTAGTTCAAATGGAGGTTAAGGAGGGCCAAAACTACTGTGGTTGCTTTAGGAGCTGAAATAAGGTTTGAGCAAATGTATTTTGATTAATTACAATTACCGAAGGTGCTTTAGACTTCATAGCAGCTGGTATAATCTTTCATACCTCAAAACCTTAGTATGCTGTGATTTTTTGGTTTATAATTTTAAAACTGAACTAAACTTGTTGGGATTGTGCTATTCTTTAATTAACTATCATCTGAGCATGCTTAGCTTGGTGATTAGAGGCTATTTAAGTTAAGTTTTGGGCTGAGAAGTGATTGTGTTCAGTTATGAACTTGTGAACCTTGCTAACAAAGGGTTTGAGCTGATATTTGTATATTCTGTGAACTGAAATTGCTCTGTGGGATTTGTACTTCTGTGACAACCATCTAAGCACCAATATACTACTAATATATAATTGAGGGTGTCAAGCTCAGGTCCATGGTGCTGTGAAATTCCACTTTTACCCCTAAGAACAGTGTTACAGCAGAAAACTGAATACTAAGATGATTTGGAACTTTTAATTGATAACATTTTGCTATATTATGTGAAATGAATATTGGAGCAAGTGTTATAATATGAAAGAGAACTGAGGGAGTTAAATTCACAAGCAAGTTCAGTCACGAATTGACCAAAGTACCCCTTAAACCAAATTGTTATAGTAAAAGCAAAATACACCTGCTGTGAGTTACTTTTTGCTAGTTTGTGAGCTGTTGTGTTATTCCCCTTTTTGATGTATCATGTCCCTAGTTTAAAACAAGTGTAATACATGTTTTTCAACCTGTGGAAGACTTTGGTTGTTGAGGAATTGAAGCCTCTTAAGGTAGTGTTTGGCAAAACTAATAATCAGCCTTTTTAATTGTCAAGTTGCTGCTGTGAGCTACACTTTGTTATACCTTCCTTTGTTTAATGTGTTCAATGTGTGAGCAATTGAATATTAACTATTGAAGACTAGGGGAGTAAAGTTTGGGGTGTAATTAAGGCTGAATTACAGAGTTGCCCTTTGAAGCTTGAAAGTTTAGGGTTTGGTGAACTTCAGGCTATTTATGAAGAAAAGTGTTATTACTTGCTGTTTGAATTGTGCTTATCATTTAATCAAGTATACTTTGCTAATAAAAAGCCTTGGGAGGTGTTTATAGGGCTGAACTGAAGCTACATTGTGTAGTTACCTTTTTACCTTTGATTTGAGGGTTTTAATCTATTGAGCTATAATTTTGTTTTACCTTGCTAAAACAATTGAAGAAGACATCTGTGCAAGTATATATTGGCTATACAGAGCTGTGGAAGTCTGTTGTAGGCCATTATTGGAGCTTCATTGTGAAGTTACTTTATTACCCTTGAATTTAGGGTTTTAGCCTTTTGGGAGCTATTATTGATCAACCTTACTTATCTACTTGTGTACTCCATTTAAGCTTATGTATTTGATTGTGTGAAGGTTGTGGGAAAGCATCAAGTGAAGCTGCAGTGTGTATCGACAGTTTTACCCTTTTTGTTGCAATGAAGTGGAAGCTAGGGTTTCTTGTGATGTATGGTACTTAAGGCTGTGTATTTATTCTTATCTTGTGTTGCAGCTTAAGTATATTGTAATTGGTGTGTTTACACCTTCTTTCATTGTTGATTAGCTATTAAGAGCTTTAGTGTCCAAGCAAAGGGGCTGTGGACTGGGGGAGTGCCTGTGTGTACATTGTTTGATCTTGTATGTGTGTAATGGCTGTGAAAGCCATTGTCCTAGTGAGTACAAGGTGGTTAGAAAGTGGGGCAGCTGAGTGAGTAACTACTTGCATGCAGCAAGTGAAGATGGTGAGCTAGGGTGTATGGATTGGTTGTGAAAGCTAATATCTATTCTTGTATAAGGGTGTGTGTGTAGTGAGTGAGATAGCTGAGTGTGTAACAAGGTTCATACTACTAGTGGAGGCTTTTATTGGCTAAGGCTAAGAACCAAGGTTTTTCCCTATTGAAAGGGTTTCCTTGTATATCTTGTGTTTTGTGCCTAATTTGTGTTTGATTGGTTTTGTTGATTAAGAAGAAAAAGTTTAAGTAAGACCAATTCACCCCCCCTCTTAGTCCAACAATTGGTATCAGAGCCACTGGTTTGTATATCTAAGGACTTAACAATCCTATAGTAAAAGACTTGGGTCAATGGAAGATGGTCAATACATTCACCAAGCTTCTTTGTTTGATGGTGCTAATTTTGACACTTGGAAAATCAAGATTGAAGCATATCTAATGTCACAATCCTATAATGTGTGGCATGCTACCACAAAAGGGGTATCTAAGCTCACTGAAGAAGAAATGTCAAATAATTCAAGGGCAAGACAGATTCTATTCAGTGGTCTCAAGTATCATGAACTCATTAAAGTTAAAAACTGTAAATCCTCCAAGGATGTGTGGGACTCACTCAATTTAATATATGATGGAAATGAAGACTTTGAAGTTCCAGCTCAAAGAGATGTGGATGAAAAGAATATTAGTATTAAAGCCTTCAAGTGTGAACTTTCAACTTTACTCTCCTTCTCTCTTATTGTGTTCAACACTGTAATGCCAAGGTCAAAGGAATTCTTGTGGAAGGAAATAAAAGAAGATGAAAGCTCTCCAATGATCATGATAGATGAAATGGAATTTGATAAACATTCAGCTGATGAGGTGGTTTCCATTGCAAATAAACTCAGGCACAAGAAGAAAGGGGCTGAAGATTCAACAAAAGGGTGTTCAACCTCTCATGCCTTGTAAGAAAGGTGGAAGAAAGTCTTTGACAGAAGGTATAAGAAACATTTCATTAAGATCAAAATGATAAAGCTAACTTGGAAGTTATCTTCAATGAAGCTGTTAATCTATACCACTCCCAGGATCTGTAACTTGAGTGGAAAATGGAATTGGAATTACAATTGCCTAAGTCATTTGAAGATAAGGTTAAACGTTCAAACTCAACACATGGGTGGTGGAAGCTTAAGACTTCTAAAATTTGCAGACAGTTACACAAGAAATTACTAGCCTCACTATTCTACAAATTCAAGAACTCTCAAGGTTGAATTTATTCTAAAATTCACACAGCTTCAAAGCTTTACAAGACCACCTCCTCTCAGAGACAAGGGTTTCCATGATCATTGTGTGTTCATTGTTTATCAACTTCACAGCTCTACAAGATCTCCTCCCCTCAGAGACAAGATCTTCAGTGATTATTGAATGACTTTTGTTGATGCTTTACTTGTTTTGTTACTTGGTTTGAGAGGAAAAATGCACTTAAAATCAGTTCTGGATCTCAGATAAATCTAGGATAAGTGTAATTCATCACTATACATCTACAACATTCACTCACTTGAATTTGATGTATTGATGCAATGTTGTAAGAAGTGTTCAAGAATGAGGTTGGGAAGGTGGAAATTTGCTGTGACTATTTCTGGGGCTAGAATGAGGTTCAAGTAAACTTGTTTAAGGTTTTTACATATGCAGAAATCAAATTTGAGGACAAAAACTAGTTGCTGTAAGTTCTCACATCTCTAACCTATACAAAATCTATTTTCTGGTGCATAAAAACTTTAACTGCTTTTTGGACTGAAGTATCTTGATTTTTGATGGTTAATAATCATTAAATCATACTTATAATGTTAAATCAAGATTGTATAAACTCATTAACATCACAGAAAATTGGACTTCTGGTTAATGAACTGTAAACCCTTGAAATTAAGGATTTTTGGGCTGAGAATGTCATACTCTTTGAAGCTACTTTGATACAACTTATGGTATGTGCACTGAATAACATCAGAGCAAGTTTGTATAGGAGATTCATGCTTGAGAAAATTGAATTAAGGTCTGTTCAATCTTAAATTTACAATTCTGCCCCAGTTTACCTATTTCTGCAGAAAATTTACTGAGGTTTGTGTTACTTGCTGAAAAATGAAATATCATGCGTATACTGTTGTGCTTAACATCTGAGCATTTGTACAATAATGATTTAAGAATGTGGGAGCCATGTTTTAACCTGAGAAATTGCAGAAGACAATTTATACCCTCTGATCAAGTCATTGAAAGTGCAACATCACAGAAACTGTCTAAGTACAGTCTTGAGGGCTAAAATTCTTATATATAATGATGTGTTTGATCTCTGAACTCTTATCTGAAGATGAATTTAGATGATGAGAACACTTTCCAGGCATGAGACCCTACAGAATACCAGTTATACTCTTAGAATTAAGGCATTATAGCAGCAACAAAATTGACCCTATAGAGAGTTGTTCTGTTACTGTCTTAAGGCTGTAGACCTCTAATCTTGTTGTGCTAACTGAGAACACTGCTTGTTCAAGTGTGTTATGATTATATGAAGCTGTTAATGATGAATTTTTGCCAGAAAAATGGGTTTGTACATGTTTTGGTGTTACAATCCTCACCAACAAGGTTTTTCAAGTCTAAATCAGTGAGAAATTATACTATATTGCTTCTATCATTGTGATCCTCCTCAGAGCATATGTAGATGGGAGGTATAAGTTTATGAGAACTAAATTCAAGCCTGAATTTATACTCAATTCTGACCTTACTTCTCAGTTGAGACACTTTACAAACATCTTAACATCTGTATAATGATGGTTTAAGGCTGGGAAAACATTATTCAGGCCTAAGAAGTGTATAAGACTAGAAAAACCCCATAACATTCATCAATGAACTTGGTTTGAAGCTTCAAGCAGTTTTAGGTGTGTCTTTATTGAAATCAGCTCTGACATTATATTATCAGTGTTGTTCTTTACTGAATTCAGTGTGTCAAGCTAATGAGAATGGTGTTAAAATCCTGAGATACTACAGAATTGTTTGGTCCCTATGTCCTTTTAACTTTCAATGTCAAAAAGGGGGAGAATTAAAGCTAGAAGAGAGTGTTTGGGGGCTTTGGGGTTTTTGACATTAAAAAGCAAAAGGGGAAGCTTGTTTGTTCTATTGGTTTTGCTATTTTAATGTCAAAAGAACAAGTGGTTTAATGTACTATCTACTAAGGGCTATTTGGTAACCACAAGGGCACAAGGGGCATTTATGTCATTCTACACAAGTATATGGTCAGCTTATATGTTTCTAAGTTAGTGCATTGTGTATTAGAGCTGATAGGTATAATTCTAAGGACTTAAATATGGCTGTAAAATAGTATGTGACATGTGGAGTCTTCAAGGGCAGCATTTACAATTCAACATTGTGAATAGCTTGCTGCCACGTGCCAGTGTGGTCCTGCAAAGAGAAAATAGTAGCCTTGATTCATTGGCTAATGCAAGAAGGTTTTATCCATTATAGGGCTGGAATAAGGACCCTATATATATGTTGTTATAGCATTTGTGAAATGCCTTCCTCCTCTAACAGAAGTGTTGCAAAATAAGCTGAAAAGAAAGAAATCTCGAGATATCAAATGAACACATTTTTCTTGAAAGATTATTGTGTCAATGTGGCTGAATTTATTCTATGAAATGCACTAGTAAATGTTTATAATCTGAAGATGAAGAAGAGGGCTGGCTGTAGTTGTTTTTCTAGTTCAAAGGGAGGTTAAGGAGGGCCAAAACTACTGTGGTTACTTCAGGAGCTGAAACAAGGCTTGAGCAAATGTATTTTGATTAATTACAAGTACTGAAGGTGCTTTGGATTTCATACTGAAGTTGGCATAATCTTTCATACCTCAAAACCTCAATATTCTGTGAGTTTTTGGTTTATAATTTTAAAACTGAACTTAACCTGTTGGGATTGTGCTATTTTTTAATTAACTACCATCTGAGCATGCTTAGCTTGGTGATTAAAGGCTATTCAAGTTGAGTTTTGGGCTGAGGGGTGATTGTGTTTAGTTATGAACTTGTGAACCTTGCTAACAAAGGGTTTGAGCTGATATTTGTTTATTCTATGAACTGATATTGCTCTGTGGGATTTGTACTACTGTGATAAGCATCTACGCACCAATATACTACTAATATATAACTGAGGGTTCGAGCTCAGGTCTATGGTGCCGTGAAATTCCACTTCTACCCTTAAGAACAGTGTTGCAGTAGAAAACTGAATACTAAGCTGATTTGTAACTTTTAATTGATAACATTTTGCTATATTATGTGAAATGACTATTGGACCAAGTGTTATAATATGAAAGAGAACTAAGGGAGTTAAATTCAAGCTGGTCTAGTCACGAATTGACCAAAGTACCCCTTAAACTAGATTGTTACAGTAAAAGCAAAATACACTTGATGTGAATTACTTTTTACTGCTTTGTGAGCTGCTGTGTTATGCCCCTTTTTGATGTATCGTGTCCCAGCTTTAAAACAAGTGTAATACGTCTTTTTCAAGCTGTGGAAGACTTTGGTTGTTGAGGAATTGAAGCCTCTTAAGGCAGTGTTTGGCAAAACTGATAATCAACCTTTTTAACTGTCAAGTTACTGCTGTGAGCATACACTTTGTTATACCTTCCTTTGTTTAATGTGTTCAATGTGTGAGTAAGTGTATATTGACTATTTAAGACTGGAGGAGTAAAGTTTGGGGTGTAATTAAGGCTGAATTACAGAGTTTCCCTTTGAAGCTTAAAAGTTTAGGGTTTGCTGAACTTTAGGCTGTTTGTGAAGAAAAGTGTTATTACTTGTTGTTTGAATTGTGCTTATCATTTAATCAAGTATACTTTGCTAATATAAGACCTTGGGAGGCGTTTACAGGGCTAAACTGAAGCTACATTGTGTAGTTACCTTTTTATCCTTGATTTTAGGGTTTTAATCTATTGAGCTATAATTCTATTTTACCTTGCTGAAACAATTGAAGAAGACATCTGTGCAAGTGTATATTGGCTATACAGAGCTGTGGAAGTCCATTGTAGGCCATTATTGGAGCTAAATTGTGAAGTTACTTCATTACCCTTGAATTTAGGGTTTTAGCCTTTTGGGAGCTATTATTGATCTACCTTGCTTATCTACTTGTGTACTCCATTCAAGCTTGTGTAT